TGGGCCCGGTGATGGCGGTGCGGGGCAAACTGGTGGGTGGTGAGTGGAGCTGTGTGTGTGCGGGAGGGAGGAGGGCGCTCTCATGGCATAAGCGGGCAGGAAAACAGCCGGGACCGACTTCCTACCCCGGCGGTCAGCCCGGGCACGGTGGTTTGCCTCCTCCCGTCTCCGGCTGGTGGCTGTAATTTTGCCAGTTTGAGGAGCTCGTGGGGCAAAGGGCTGGGAGCTGTTAAAAAGTGACTAATGGATTGGAAAGGGGCAGCCGGGACCGACTTCCTACCCCGGCGGTCAGCCCGGGCACGGTGGTTTGCCTCCTCCCGTCTCCGGCTGGTGGCTGTAATTTTGCCAGTTTGAGGAGCTCGTGGGGCAAAGGGCTGGGAGCTGTTAAAAAGTGACTAATGGATGGGAAAGGGGGAGGGTGGAGGGGGGGAGGCAGGTGATCCAGCGGACCGAGAGGCTCTTAAAGGGCGCTTTCTCCGCAGGACGGGAGGAGAAACTGCGCTGGTGAATCCAGGGGCGGACGATGGTGCCCGACCCCTAAAGCAGTCCTCCGGAGGAGGGAAAATTGTGGTAGAAAGGCTGCTTGGAAGTCTTAGAGCTAGCGTGATCTCCGTGTGAAAGTTGCCCAGGCGTTTGGGAAAACTTAATGTCTGCTTGCAAGCTAGGTCTCTCTCTAAAACTCTGGCTCTCAGGGTATATTTTGACTTTTTATAAAGGCTCTTTGTCACTGCCCTAGAAAAAAGAACAGAAGTACATGTAATCGAGGAAGCTGCAACTCGAGGGAAAAATGTGGGAAAGGTGCAATTCAGTGGTGAAAAATAGAAACCAGGAGTGTTAGTAGTGCAGTTAGCCAAGTGACTGAAAGAATGTCACAAAACTGCTGCTGTCTGAGCTGTTGGTTTTGACTTGTTCGCACCACTTACATCTTGTAAACCATCTTTGAGGGCTTTGCTGATATGTAGGGCGTTAACTAAAATGTGACCCTCTTGTTACATTTGCATTTCTTTACCCTTGAGAAGGATACAAGAGTGAGGTGTTTGCTATTACACCTATTATTAATAGGGATTACTTAGCTGCTTTAGTTGCCAGTTTTTCCTAATGGCATAACATCAAATCCAAAAAGATCTGGTTTGAATTTTGGATTCCAAGTGAAGGTCTTGATATCCACAGATGGAAAAACTTCTGTGGAATCGTTGAACTAATAAAAGAGTAATAAGACAACTTTGTTGTTGCTTTTCCCCTTCTCTTTCTGTCCTCCTTTGACAGTCCTATATTAAATTATATTGGCAAATTTGCCTCTGCAGAGGGAATACAGGATTGTCAAATACCATGTACTTTGCAAATTGATGTAATATAAAGGAAGGAAGGTCTGGCTAGAGGAGTTCAGGAGTTTGCTTTGGGTAGGTGTTTCGCAGCAGAAAATGCTTTTCTACTTCATGCATGTTGTGTTGTTAACATGAATAAACCTACCTGAACTACATACATTGCTTTCTAACTTAATTCTGGCTTTTATGTGATGTTCCTTGGGAGACCAGAAAGCTCCCCAGAGCTGTGCTGAGAACTTGAAAGTTACTAGCAAAGATACTATGTATAACCACAGTATTCCTAGTTTGTGCTATATAAACTCTCTATTTCAGTAGTGGTTTTTTTTTTGTTTTGAAGTAACAGTATCTTAAATGTGATATGGTAACTCATGGGGCATTTTTAAAGCATTGCGTGTTTTACCCACAGTTGAAGAAAACCTTTAAATTCGTCAAAACAGCCTTAAATTAATTTCTGAATTTCAGTGGCTAAACTCTGTTTCTGAAAACATAATAAAGTTTTTAGCTTTTTTAAAGTATTACTTTATAAGCCTTTTAGATGGATGGGAGGGTGTAAAAAGGAAATCTGTTAAGTTGGTGTAATGTATACAAGAGTGTATAAAAATCAGCTCGGGCTGTAGTATGATGACTCTTAGGCTTAAAGCCTATGAGAGTTTAGCCTTTTGACAGCATTGACCTGAGTTAGGTGTGCTGGCAGGTGCTGCTCCTCGTTTTCCTCCTGTGTGCTTCTTCCCTGACCTACAATATTGTTTGTTGTGCCTGTTACCGTACAGTTTGCAGTTCTGCTGTTGTGTGTATGTCCTGTTCTCCAGCTCCCACCTCTTATTAGTATGGCTTTTGGGGTATCAGCCTGAACATACTAACCCTGTTCTCCTTCATTATGAAAAGCTACATTCAAGACACATTTTCCTTTTTTTTTTTGAAACACCTTTCATTTGTCACGTTGAGGGGACTGTGGAAGTTGCCTGGGTAATGCATACTGTCCCCAGATGATGTTAGGCCTACTAGGTCTATTTTTTGTGGTTTCGACTTAGGATCAGAATCTTCACTCTTCAACCTGTCCTGCAAATACTTTGTCTTAGTGAGACTATCAAGTCACTTTTTCTTTTGTTAAAGGTATGGCAGTCATCTTCCTTGATGGTCCTTTCACTCTATCTGTATCAGGATTAATGTTCATCTGCAGGAAATAGGGAGTTCACAGCAGGGTCGAAAGGAGTGCACTTATTTGGCAGACTGAATTCCTCATTTTAGCTGTGTTCACCCATGCTATGCTTGTCTATAGGTTAATTTAAAAAGAAAACAGATAAATGATTTTCACTATAACTTTTTTCACAAGAGTGGCAAGCTGTTATTTGAGGATAATTATATAGTAACTAGACCTCACACTACTTCCTTGTGCATCTTTGAAATATTGTGTGGTAAGTAATCTGAGCTGTAATGTGTTTTGAAAGAGTATTTCCGATAGTATCATTAGTAATTGCGTTTAACATACTGGAGATGAATTTGCAAGTTTACTGGGAGAGAGGAATTATTTTAAAATATTTTTTTCAGATAATTTGGGGAAAAGAACTAGTGCTTGACTGTGGAATGATATAGACTTACTTGTAAGTAGCCTTTAAAAGTCTGTCCACTTCTCCACTTTACCTACAATTGCTCAATGCACTTTCTAAGTATTTGGCAAGCTTAGGACAGTATTAAGAAGCTGCCAGCTGGTTTTATTAGCAATACTGCAAAAATGCTTTAGGTAGAACATATGCATCCTAAGTTTCTGAGACTGTTCCTTGATCTTCAAGAAATACAGGTTAAACACTTCAGTGCGTTGTCTTTTTCTGTTATTTATTAAGCAGCTTCCTAGGCCTCTTTTTAATAACACATTGAATTCTGTGTTTGAATTGTTTTAATTTCTTAGCTTTCTGCTGTGGTACATGAATCCAACTTTGTCCTTTCTGTGTGTCCTGGCTGTACGTTCTTTAAAGGCAGTACACATCGTCCTGTTGTTGAGGGCGGGGGGGATTTTTTGTTGTTGTTGTTAGAAGTTCTGAGGTTTTAAAGTGAGCGCTTGAGTTTTCGCTTTTGGACTTTGGACTTTTGCCTAGCACCAAAAGTTAACTGCTCCCAAAGATGTTTTGGCACTGAAATATTTCTCCTGTGGAAGAAAAAAACATAGGCAGTGCAGTTGGAGGGTATTTTGCTGCCATTGCATCTAGGATAAAATCCATCCTCCATTAAATAGCATGCTTAACCTTCCCCCTGTTCCCTTCCCCCCCTCCAGATGTTATGTAATCCAGAAAACCGGCTGTCAGCATGCTGAAGTACACCCAACACCATTGGTTTAAGGGAGGGGGCTTAGGGGGCTGTTAGAGGTGATTTTTGTGATAAAGTGAAGTTCCAGGTGTTGACAACAACTCTTCGGTGTTATGCGATAGCATGGGTAGGAACGTGTCTGAACTTGTCTGGAGTCAGTAATGTCTAACTATCTGCGTAAGAAACTCCTCTTGAAAAGCATTTGTGTCAATGTTTTAAAATTTTAGAAGGTTTAGGTCAGACAGTTAATGCTGAATGAATCTGCACTGGAATCCCTATGAGCAAACTTTCCAATACAAGAACAGTTGTAGATCTCTGGATAGATGTGACCAGAGTATATTCAGCTTTCTGAAAGCACTAGCAAAACAAAAGTTCTTAACTGAGTGTCTAGCACTTACTGGTTATCTGCAGTATGGATTCCAGTAAGTGTAAAAGCAGAGGAAAATTTGCGCAGAATTGTTTTTTTTTTTTTAAATATCTAGTTATGACCTGCTTTGTAAAAGTCATTGACTTCTTCCTAGGTTGATATGGAAACTGTGCTGCGACAAGGAAGAGGAATTTTTCTTAATTGGAGGGTATACCAACTGTGGTGAGGGTGCAAGGTTGCAGAATAAGACTTGGAGCTTCTTTAATTCTAGGCAAAAGTGAATTAATTTGAGTTGAAGTAGCTAGTAATGCTGGGTTTGATATTCATGTTTCAACACAGTTGGTTGTGAAGGGATTCCTAATTTGGAAGACTCACTTTAATATATGTATAATTCAGTAATTTGCATGTAATGTTTGTTTACATTCTTTTTTTCACTTCTGTTTAGAAAGCTGTTTTTTAAAATTAATTTAGTAGGTGTGAAATTGAATTGAATTTTGTCAAATAATGATGTTTTTCACTGTCTATTTAAAAAAAATATTGTAGCAAATAGGTTTTTTTTGGTCTAGCTTTCTGGTCAAAAAAGGTATCTTTTTAAGGTGATCTTTTTGTAAGATAGATTTGTTCTGGAGGAATCATTATTTTTGTTCATATACTTAAAATAATTTGTAATTGCAATACAGTTTATCTAGTACTCAAAGGATGAAATTTTGCGTAGAAATATTTATGAATTACCTTTCTACTCTCTCTCTGAAAATACTACAGAAATGTTCTATAAAACCTCTTCTCTTACCAAATCGTGTAAGATGTAGGGTGTTTCTGTAGATGTGAGTGAGGGGAGCTGATGTGAGGTAGGGATTAATGAGTAGTCGGGCTCATTTTTACATCCAAAATCTGAAATTTTCTCTCTTAACAATGAAAATTTATCTAGTATTTCTGTGCAAGTGTTTTATTAGTCTTGGAGGAAAAACTCCTGTCTCAAAAATACATTTTTATCTCTAGGAGTGTGCTGTTTAGAATGTCTTTATTACTTATTTCAGATGAACCCCCTATATTGCCTAGAAGTTGGATGTACTTGATGGGGAGTCTGAAGACATGTTTTAGCTAATAGTTTTTTCACTGCTTTTGCTAAATGCTTAATTTCTGTTTCCTAGCACAGAAGATAAGATGATACTCTCAGTAATCTCTCTGTGGATGAAAGCATATATGTTAACATTTGATATTGGTGCTGGAGTATAGGCACAATGCAGAGAAATACTCAAAATGTATTTAGATAGGACAGCTGGACATACAGACTTTAAAATGCAGACTCAAATCAAAAGGAGTCACTCGTACATCATGTGTTTCTCATATCATTGCACCCTATATTTTCCCAGTAGTCCTGGTCTTGATTTTTAGACCCTGCAGGTATTTGCAGAACTGTCGGGAGGAAAAAAGAAAAAAAAAAGGCATTCAAATGTCCCCTGTTAACAGGCTATTGGAGTGCTTTTCAAAAGAAGCTGAGTATGTGTCAGGAAGAACTTGGGTTTGAAATGCTCTATGTCAGAGCTCAGGCATAAACAGCTTACCATGTGGTGTCCAAAGAATACTACTAGTGTGTAGGTGGGTCTGTCATCTTCTCTCAAATCATGTAATAAGCTTTCTGCTGTTTACTGTAGTTAAAAGTTTGCTGGCCATCATATGGTAACTCTTTTTCCTTCAAATAGTTGTGTGTTCTGTTTCAAATATAATGGAAAGAACATATGTAGAAGGCAAATAGAAGGAGAAGCAAAGTCAGGCTGTAGCCGTAAAGTTTTAGGCATTACCCATCAGGACATGAATACCGAGATGCAATGTGTAGCCTTAGCTGCATCTATCTCTGCACCATCAAACCTTCTATCATGTGGTTTTATCAAAAGCCAATTTTATTGATTACAGTATGGCTCTACATGTTTAGTTTGGGGTTCA